AATCCATATCCTCTCTGCTTATATATACAATTTTTTGTCAGTACATACATAGTCTCTGTACACCTGTAAATAAATATTTATATCCTGTATAGCACTTCCGGATAGATGCAAACTACTTTTTGCTGCTTTGTACTTGTGACAGTTTGATGACAATTAAGTTTAATTCTATTCTGTTCTATTCATTTGAATCATGGTGGACATACTTTTTTAAAGTACATCAAAAAAGACGGACTTCCAAAAGAATTCATGCAAAATTTGTAAAAAAAACAAAACAAAAACCATAATGTTTAAAACATAGGTAAAAGCAGGTGATGGCATGTTACAGTAATGTCAAACTATTACATTAAGTGTTATCACTGGAATTTCAAATTTGGATTACTACTAGTGATACATTTAATTCCTTGTTGAACACCACTTTCTAAATAGCTCCTTACATTTATAGGATATACAACTTTCTTTCTTATATCAATTCTTTTTCCAGCAGGTTGTGCAACACATCCTGTATCATATATCTCCCCCTTGTGGACAAAACCTCTTGGTACAATGAGCTCTGAGGCTCAATGATGTGCTAAAATAGCAAATGTTTATTGGTAATAATTAGTTGTTTTTTATGTGTGTATCAAGTAAAAAAAAATTTCCATTAAGAGCACAGATGACTATTAAAGGTTGTCTATTTTGATCTAAACCAAGCATCTCCAAAGTCAGTCCCAGAAGGTCGCTGTCCTACGAGTTTTAGATGTTTCCCTTCTTCAGAACAACTGGTTTCCATTGATGGCTGATTGGCAGTTTTTTGCTGAACTGCAATCAGAATCACCTGTGCTGTAAATATGAATTTATACAAGTATTTATCCTTTATATATCTGTAACAGTTTACCATCTGCCAACCTGGGATTTTACTAAGTGGACACATCATGCTACAAAATGGCATCAAGAGGACTTTATTAGGGACCTGTAGTTGTAACTTAAAAAAATTAGTGGAGTCTTCGTCAGGCAGTATCCCTCTCTTCATTACTAAGCCTCATTAAATTCATTCTTAAGCTAAAACAACATCTCAAAAAACAAACAAAAAAACAAACAAAAAAACCCTGCTGTATGTATGCTGGAGACATGTATCCCCAAGAGGACAGCAGCTGTAGAACATGTTCAAATATCTTTATAATGCTGTTTATACTTTAAAATGACATAGATATATGGCATTATTTTAAAGTGCAAAGTGGTAAAAAATAGCAGGAATTTGATAACACCAGTTTCAAAGATAACAAAAGTTTAGATTTCTCAAAAATAGTGCTTAATAATAATACCAAAAAGTTATTTTAAGTTTTAAAGTTTATTTTGACCTATTTTAAATGATTTCCATTGATGTCAACTAACAGTACATCTTAAAAAAATTTCCTATCAAAATAATAAGTTACTTTTCTACTGGAGTGATGAGAAATGGAAAATGTGTTGCCTAAAATGGCTGATAGGCTGAGTTCACATTTCTTATTTCCTACATCAGAAAAAATACTATGGATGAACTGGCACCACAGAAGTCAGCTCATGACATGAATAACAATAAAAGGTTTTTGCATAGAAAAACATCAACAGTGTATGTGAATGATAAGAGCTTGACACATCCGTGAACTGAATGCCATTTTAAACTGTGTAAAGTGCAGAAACAGACAGTGTAAGGCAGAAAGTCAGGTTAAAAAGACGTCTATTGCTCTAATGAGATAAGAATGCAGGGAGGTGGTGCAGAGATAAGGGAAAAAGGAAAAGAGGTAGAGAGATTGTATAAGGAGAGGGCAAACAGGATAGTTTGAACAAATTGCACATTTCTGATAAGGACAAGGGAAATAAAGTTGGATTAAAAGGGGTATGGTTTGTTTTGGGAACCAACTATTTTTCAATCATCTGTAAGGATCAGATAAGATGAAATGATCCGATTGGCACGATAATCCTTGCAGTGCGAAAAAGGTTTTCAGTCACCTTTACTTAAGTAAAGTGTGCTGATCTAAATCTCTTAAAACAATGGCCCCTTTGAGTCTCCGAAGTTAATCGTATATTCAGCAACAACCGGGAAAAGTCAGATTTGGCAAAAGTCATGGCAAACAATTCTGTTCTGAATCCCGCTCTGATTGTCAGTCCTTTTATCTCCAGAACAACTTGGCCTGTAGTTCTTAATACAATTCCTTGCAAAAAAATTCATACCCCCTGATTTTTATGTACATTTCACATTTCAACTTCAAACATATTTCGTTTAGGGTTAGACCTACATATTGTGAAGTGGTGCCAGAAGTTCCAGCTGAAGAGAACCCCCCTAACAGCATGATAGTGTATTGAGTTTGTATAGGGGATGATGTGCATTGCTAGTTTTCAATGACACATACATGTTTGCACAGTATATATAGGACAAAAAGTTACATGTGTTTGTTGTAAACTTAAAATAGGAGTTTTTATTAATATCTCTCCGCAATGCATTTGTCAACAGGTTCTCCCACCTGAATCGTGGATCTCTGCAGCTGATCTTGGCTACCTGTCTGGTGAATGCTCTCTTTGCCAGGTCTTTCAGATTAGATGTTCTATTTGGCCTTCATTTATGTGAGTGTGTATGTTTATCATATAAGATCTTAATAAAATGTACAGCTTAGCAACTCTTGCATGAAAGAATTGATGGGATTTGAATGCTTTTGCAAGGTACTGTAAGCATCTTCACGTCTTATCCATCCTTTCTTGGGGAGCCTGGATTTTTTTCCTTGTCCCCAGTTTCTTTATCTTCACATTCGAGGCTGTTGTTAATTTTTAACTCTTTTTTGTTTTCTGGAAACTCTTCCCCCAGTTTATTCACCAGTGTTTCTTCTTCAGTCTTAGTGGTAATTTCTTTGCTCTGCTCCTCTATGTCTGAGCTCTCTGACTCCCCGGCTTCCTCTGACAGAGAGTACATTTCTCTCAAAACGTCCCCTGAGCCCGAAGGGACTTCTTTACTGCTCCAGTGACGTTTCTGGAACAAAGCGAATTCACTAATATCTTTGGAGCAATTTCTCAGTTGGCTCGAAGGTCCGCTGCAGCCCTCATCTGAGGCCAATAGCCCATTAAGAAGACCGTTGGATGCTTCAGAGGTCCTGGGTGAAGCTAGAGAACTGGCTTGTTTGAGGATGGATGCAGCGATCTTGAATCGGTTGAGCTTGCCTTTTCCCTGACTGGCTGGAAGGCCAGCAGAGATCTTGAGAGAAGAATTAGGATAAGCAAGACTGGATTCCACTGAACTGCAACTGGCCATTGCACCCTGTAGAGCAGGCTTTCCTGTCTTCATCATGCCCATTACCTCATATCGGAAGCTGGAAATATCTTGCTTCAACTCCTGAGAAAGCAAAGAAAGAGTCAGTTTACTCTAAAACAACTAATGCATGGTTTTAATCATCATGTTTCAATTGATACAGAAAATGTAGTGTAAAAATACTAGTTTAAAAAAATAAAAAGGAAAATTTGTATTGTTTAAAACTAAAAGCTATAAATTTGTCACCTCATGATCATGCCTTGATTGTTTCCCCTTGTTTAAGCTTTTTAACCTTAGTTTTTACTCAGAATACAATCTATTTTAAGATAAAAACTCCTTCTACCACATGAAATGCTGTCACACAAGAAACACTGGTTGCAAGACAGCATCACAGATAATATGATCACCTGCTTCCCAAAAATATTAGTTTATATGAAAAATATTCTAATGATCCCAATAGGCTGATCAGCCAAATCACAGATAGATACAGGAGATACAGGATGACACAATGAGCATCTAGTTTTAATTTATTTACTTCTTCAACAAGCTTACACCTGTATGACACCTACCAACACTGGATAAGGCTACTGGTACCATACTTTAAAATATTTAAACTGAACATTTTTAAAGCTGAAGCAGCTTCATTCAAACAGCATTAAAGATATATATCCTGAGAGATGAACTAAAGATCATTGACTGAGAAAGTAACCATATTGCAGTCATAAAACACTATTCTCCTCCTAAAGACAAGGTTCAACCACCAGCTGGACTCTCCTCTCCAGGACCCTGGCATAAGCCTTTCCAGGTAGTTTGAGATTTGTGATCCCTCTATAGTTTGAACACACCAACTGGTCCCCCTTTTTATCCAGGTTGACCATCCATCCACTCTACCAATCAAGGGACACTATCCCTGACATCCACATAATTTTGAAGAGGCGTGTTAGAGAGCCTCCAGGGTTCTCAAGGGTTCATGGGAGTTTGCCCAACTGGTCCAAATTTGTTTTGTGGACCTGAAGAAGACACTTAACCGTGTCCCTAGTGGTGCCTTGTGAAGGGTGCTTCAGGAGTACGGAGTCTGGGGGCCTTTACCAGGGGGGCATTCAGTCTCAGGTCAAGCAGAGCAGCGGTTTGGTGTGCATTGCCAGCAATAGGTTGGATGTGTTCCTGGTGGTTGTTGGAATCTGACAGGGCTGCTTTCTGTCATCGGTCATGTACATAACCTTTATGGACAGGATTTCTAGGCACTACCAATGAACGGAGGGGGTCTGATGCTGGAACCAGCAGATCTCGTCACTGCTTCTTGCGGAAGACGTCGTTCTGCTGGTTCCCCCCTACAACCAATGAGCCAGTTCACAGTGGAGTCTGAAGTGGATCATGACTGAAAGAGAGAGATCCCGGTTACAATCAACTGAAATTAGCTTTCTCTGCAGGTTGGCTTGGCTCTGCCTAAAGCCGGCCATACACACTACGATTGTTTTGTGCATTTCAGGCCGATTCTCCAGTCATGTAAAAATGTTTCAATCGGTCCGACTTGCAGCCTTGTCGTGAGCCTCTCATCACTATCTCCTGACCAAGAATCGTAACATCGGGAGAAAATCAAACATGTTTGAAATCCAGTCGGCCATCGTAAGGTCGCATAAGAGCGTTGGGCTGCACAATGTGAGAACATGCATCATGAGCTGTGAACTTTTAAACCCTGCGGTTTCGTCATACAGTTTGAGTTGTAGATGCGTGCGACGATTGAAAATATTACACAGTGTATGCCTGGCTGTAGAGATAGGGTGAGGAGCTTGGACATTATAGAGGGTCTCAAAGTAGAGACGCAACTCCTCCACATTGAAAGGAGTCAGCCGAGGTGGCTTAGACATCTTTTTCGGATGCTCCCTGGACACCTCCCTCAGGACCGAGGTCTAACCGGTCCCGGATAAAGCAGAAGATTACGAGTAAAAAAAAAAAAAAAACTGACTCTAACAACATCCTTCCATCTTCTCCCACTTATTTCTAGTCAGGGTCGTGGTAGGGCCGGTGCCTATCTCCGGCAGGCTATAGGCAATACGCGGGGTAAACACCGGACAGATCACTAGACTATCGGGGGCAACACAGAGACACAGAACCATGCACACACACACACTCCCACCTAAGGACAATTTGGAGAAGCACCCATGTTTTTGTACTGTGGGAGAAAGAAACTGTAGAGTACCTGGAGGGAACCCACGCATGAACGACGAGAACATGCAAATTCCATGCAGAAAGACCCCAGGCTAGGAATCAAATTCAGAAACCTTCTTGCTGAAAGACAACAGTGCTACACACTACGCAACCCTGCCACCTAACCCTGCATGATTTTTTTTATTTTTTTTATTTTCTTCATGGACCAATAAAATTGAAACGTGTCTTTAAGAATGTAAGTTTCTTTAAATCATAAAACAAAGTAAACCTACTTACAGAAACATTTTCAGTATTAAACTTGCTCCCTGGCTCTATTGCTTATAAATGGGGGCAGATATACGTTTGACTTCTTTTGGCTATTTTTCATTCATGACTTTGGTTGTTACATGAAATAATCATTTTACGTTATGTTTATTGAATAAAATAAATAACTAAACTAAACGTTTCAGTAAGCTATCTAAATGAATTTTTTTTTATTTTTTTGGTGCAGTGGTGTAATCTAAAAGTTAACATGACTCACTCAAGGCAAAACAGCACAATATTGATCACTGTCCACTTACAGGCGATTCAAAAAAGGTTGTTTTCTCATAAACTATGGTTTTAAGACTATATTTAAGTGATATGCATAACCCCTCAGTAAAATTGCACATTTTCTAGCACAGTCCAGTCCTAGCATTTGTGCTGCCTTTGTTTACTTATATTGATATTTTTTGCATCGAAACAAGGAAATCTGTCGCTGTGACTGTATAGTACTGCTAATTAGGTCATGAGAAAAACAACTGATGGAAAGGAAAAAGATTAGATCTGTCAGAGAGAACCTAAAATAGCACTGCTGTGTGTCAGAAAAAAAATCTGTAAAATATGGCATAAATTACCACTCTAACTCTGACAAGCATTTTTTCCAAGTAGATGTTACTTCACCAGGGAGAGTGATCATTTGATGTACTATAAATAGAAACACAAAGTATAGCTGTTTTCAGTTATTCATTCTCAGGGGGAGCAGATGTACCTTGAAGTTGTCCTCAGTCAGGCCTTCCTCTGTTTTAGCATCTCTGATCATTGCAGCCACATAACGTTTCACCAGGTTCCTTAATACCTCCTAAAACAACATGAAAATGCTTTTGTAAAAAAAAAATCTGACAAGAAAGGAAAGGCAAAAAACATTTTCAAAGAAAATACAATCCATCCATAAAAATATCAATGCAGATGCTATATTGATTCCCTGCGGATGTGTGCAAATAGGAATTCCTCCACAGAGAATGATGATAAATATCCTGCTGACTGTAATTGTCAGTCCTGCTGACAGTGTGTGGTCAGAATAAAATTGGAAATGCTGAAAGGGACAGAACCAGTTTCCTGAATGCACACCAATAACCCCGCATTAATGTTATGTATCCATTCAGCTTGCTTTCAGAGAGGTTTCTGTACCTGATATTGATGGTTTATCCTCACATTCTCTGCTGCTCGTCTCTGCAGGAAATTTATATGAAATTAGAAGAAAGGAGAAGAAACATATACAAGAAAATCAATCCAGACATTCCGTATAAGGTCATAGTTATATGGTAGCAATATTTGTATATTCCAGGATGCCTCACTGAGCACTAAAAAATAAACTGGGTTGCAGCTAAATTATGTAAAATATACAATGTGGAAATGAGTATTGAATACGGCATCATTTTGGCGAAGCTCTTTGAGAAAGCTCTTTAATTTTACCCATCATGAGGTGTTTTCTTGTGTGATACCAGCTGATATTATTTGTACTGACAAGGGGCAGGATTGCTTTCTAATTACTGAGAGATTTCAGTTGATATATTGGCTTTCGATGCCTTTTTGGACCTCACTGTCATCATGTGTTCAATACTTTTTCCCTATGCCATGCCACATTATCACACATAACTTAATTCCTGAACATATATGGTTGGATTTCTTCGTATGTGTGGATTGCATGAATTGTTGCCAACATCTGGTGAAAATGTTATGTCAATATCACCTCTAGAAATATATTTACTGAGAAAAATGGTGCCATATTCACTATTTATTTTACCTGCTGTAAACCTAATATCAGATGCAATATAGAAAAGTATTTGAAAGAAATATGCGATAAAATTATTACTGTCTATCATTATTATTACTAATCTTTCACATTTATTTTATGGTTATGGTTCTTTACATTATTTAAACCCGCATGTTGGAGGGTGAAAACAGCAGAAAGAGGCTGTTTTCACTTTATGTGACAGGAAAGATGAGTGTATAAAAAAGTGCAAGTTTTTCCCATTAGATTAAAAACATAACATTGAAAAAAAATATATATCATATCATAGTCTCTGCATCAAACTGACCATATCAATGCATTTTTTTGCACCATTTTTGTTTCTCCCACAATATTTATATTTGATCACTGCTGCACTTTAAAATGTCATGAGAGCTGTACAAAACAAAAAAGTTTGTCTAAGTCTAACTCTAAAGTCTAAATATAGCTATGGAAGTAAAAGCATTAGTTTATTTCCTGTATATCAACTCACTCCAAGTGTCCCAAAGCTTTCGGTTCTCTTAGTCAGTGTCCTCTTACAAACTTGTCTCTTAATCCAACACATCAGGTACCAGAATGTTTTGGGGCTCGGAATAATGTTGAAAGGGGGTGGAACGGTGGCCCCCTCCTCAAAGTAACTCATCCACAGCTTTGTCCTGGCAAATTTCCACTCGATATCTGCATGGTCCTGCATCAAAATTGGAGTATTTTAGAAAAACATGTTCTGGGTGAGTGTTTTGATTTTTTTTTTCTCCACACATATGACTATTTACTCACAGCAATGTGCTGGTAGGAGTTGTTCATCATGGCTATGAGCATGTTGAGGAGCACCACCAGAGAAATGATGTTGTATGTGCCAAACATGGTGGCTCCGACGAATTCAGTGAACTGGTGGTCTGGATCCACATTGGTCACATAGAGGCTGATCAGTCCAAATATAGACCAGAAAAGTGATTGCAGGGTCTCAAATAACCTTCAAGAGATCAAAAAATGTTGTAAGTAATGGTACATTGCTTGTTCTTCTAAGTAAAGCAGCTTTCATTATTGAGCTTAGATGCAGAAAATATCTAATCATCAGTTTTGCAGTCTCACACATGAATGCTTAAAGAAAAAGTTTGTGGTTGTTACATTAGTGGTAACAGGTAGTATTTAATGCACAATCATTAGAGAGGGATCATTGAAGAACGTAGGCAGGAGTTGCAGTTTCTGTTAGCAACAGAAAGAATTTTGCACTCAGTAACAGTTTACACAGAAAAAACCCTCCCTTTCTTTGACACCTTCTTTCACAGTATCACACATTGGCTCTACACATGCAGAAACCCACGTGGAAAAAGCGTTGTTCTGCTCTACACAGCGGATCCCCTTGCATTTCCCTTTCTCTTCTGAAGCCTTTGTCTCATAGTAAAAGTAGAGCTGATTAAGACCATTTGCAAATGCCAAAAGAACCTGAAGAGTGAAAAAACACATATCAAATATATAGTTCCACATTGCATATTAATTTTAGGAATAAAAAAATTTGTTGGATTTACCAAACAGTAAATAAAAAGGAACTTCAGAATATCCAGCAGCATTCGTCCAAGTGAGATCTGCAGAGGTCCCAAGTGGGAATTAGCAGTGAAGAGAGAGATGAGACGCAGGGAACTAAATATGTTTGCAATGGCAAACACTGCCTCAGCTACTAAAGTGGGGTGCCACATTTCCCATTGGTTCCTTGGTTTATTACCACTGTACTGAATTTGGAAGAAAATGGACAAAAGATGAAATATAAAGTAAGATCACAAAACATGACAAATTCTGACAGTTGTATTACGATAACAAGATAAATATTACCTTGGTGTACGCTACAATCTTGAGAGATATAGTGGCCAAATAAAGAGAGTTCATGACAAAGTCCATCAGGTTCCACCAGTCATGAACATAGTCCTGGAAACCACCATCCCACATTTGCTTTATCTCTGCCCAAATAAATCCTAGAAAAAGACATTATAAAAATATTTGTAGGTATTTTGTAGGTGTGTAGGGAGAACGAAAGTAGAAGTTCTTGGTCAGAATAAAGGCATCAATGATTCTTTTTGAAATACAAACTAATAAATGGCCCATTAAGTTTTTACATACTGTCTAATTCCAGCCTAAAAACCTCTACATTATTTTTGGTGTTTTATTTGAGAGAACATTAATTTGTGCTGAAGGGGAGTGATACATTATTTAGACAAATCTAATCTGATTTATTGAAATGTGTTGGGAAAGAAAACAGCAATAACCAAAGATCCATGATAATTCTGGAAAACCTGTCCTGAAACACATATCAATAGGTAGTATTTGTTGCTGTTGGCAAAAAATAATGTAAGCATAATGTAATACAAAATATATCAAAAAAGGGCTTCAGGTCAGAGAACAAATTTAAAACATCCCAAGCACAATGAATTTTAACATTTATTTTCCACTTCACATTATGTTGTATTTGGTTTATCACAAATGTATGTTTTTAAGTAGAAAAAAATGTGAAACAGTTCAAAGGATAGTATTACTTTTGCAAGGCAATGGAAAACAACCACTCAATCCTATTATACTCACCTAGCACCCATGGTAGTATCATCCACTCCACAGTAGTAGGTGGAGGGCCCTGTCGGTCCTGCCTATCTTGTTCTGTGGTGACAATGTGCTGGGAGGCGAGCAGCAGCAGGAACAGAAAGGTCAGGTACGATGCAGTGTGGCAGATAAACTTCATGAAGGGTTTGCGGATAAAGAGGCCATAGCGACTCTTGGGAGCGATGAGGTAACAGAGGGCAAAAACAGGGTAGAGGAGGCCGATAAACACACAGGTGATGAATTTTCCTGCCCAGTGGCGTCGCCTCCACCCTGGAAACTCATCATACCACCGGGATGCAAGTAGCTGCTGACAGTTTGGCTGAGCCACGAACTATAATGAAATGAGAAAAAAGGTAACGGCAATGAGAGTTAAATTCTATACATTTTTTCATAAAAAGCCTTTTTATTCATTATTCCAAAGCAATGATTCTCCATATAAACCTGCTTGAAGAGAGCTTTCTCCTGTAGGCTGTTTATCTTGTTTCCTATAGTATGATCTACTGGTAATAATGCACTAAAATAAGCAACATTAGGTAACTTTAGCAGCAAATTTTGTAGTTGGAAGTGTTTGTGTAGTGAAAACAGTCAAGGGTCAGTCTTTCACCCTTGTTGCAGTTTTTAAAGAAATAACCTCTGCTCATAGAAGCATTTGTTTCTACACCACATGAACAGTGTTAGCATTTTTATCAGTTGCAAAAACCTTTTCTGTAATTTTTATTTGTTTGTTTTACCTGACTGCAAATTAAAATCATTTGTGTACAACTTCTTTTTCATGTAGGTCTAAGCGTTGCTTTGGTTCCGAAACAAAACATACGGGAATGCTCAAATGTACTACATGTGACCTTCATGGGTCATCATCTGTACATGCAAACATCTTTAAAGATTAAGGCAATATTGTTCAATAATATGCTGTGTAGTTATATCAAAGTGCTGACCGACCCTGCTGGGTTCCAATTCATTAATTCAGCTGCTTTGTTTCCATGGAAACCACAGACCCCTCCCCCCCAAATCTGTGTGCTGGTATGAAGCAGAAGGGCGAATGTATTCCTCGCCTTCAGCTGCAGACTACAGTACTGGTAAAAACAGGAGTTGGAAAGGGAAAATGGCTTTAAAGTTGACATTTCATGAAAAAATATGTTCCCTTTCACAACAGACATCATTAAAAAATAAATATAGAGCCAAATGAAATGAAAAGCTCCATGTAATTGCCTTTAATACTACATTTTGATCTGATCTCCTCTTACATAAGTTTGACAAGCCAAACTCCTTAAACAGCAGGGTGTTTTAATTTACATACACACACACACACACATACTGTAATAATGGCCACACATTTATTGTTAGACTGAGCACAATTGTCAATTACTTTATTTATGAAAAAAAAAAAATACAAAATAACAAAGACACTTTCACATATGTAATATATGTGGAATATATATATATATATATATATATATATATATATATATATATATGTATAAATATATACACATTATTTTTTCCCCACATATATTACATATGTGGAAGTGTGTTTGTTATTTTGTAGATTTTTTTTTTCACAAATAAAGTAATTGACAATTGTGCTCAGTGTACCAATAAATGTGTGGCCATTATTACAGACACAACCCTAAATGGAAGACTCGCTGCATCTCTGACAGTCATATTGACTGCAACTGCGTGCTCAGTGATAGCATCAAATAAAGAGGCACTAGAGGCAGCTGGGAGCTCCTTTTACAGTGAACTTTTAAGGAACATTAAGGGCAGTACTTTGTATGATATTAACACAACAGTCAGCTACTTGTATTCCCTCTAACAACTTGGAGTGATAATCACTTTCTCAGACGGACTGCACTTACCTGCTCACTTCTATTTCTAACTATATAGTAAAGATTGTTTATGAGACCTAAGTTGCTAGGCTTGAGTTTTAAAGCATGATTCCAAATTTGAGCCAGATTGTTGTTTTTTTACACCATAAATGTTGAGCAGGTTTAAGTTGCAGTGTAAAGTTAGTATTTACAGTTTGCCTGAAAACGGCACTTAATCATAGCAAGCTTTTTTGGATTCTAGATAAAAATTAAAGGATAAAAGATGAAGATACGTTGTATGAACATTATTAGAGTTAATAAACAAATCATCAAGCAGCCTTTAAAAAGTGAGAAGAGTCAAATTTATTCTGCTAAGATTGTCTTTCTCTGTGATATTTCATGATTCTTCTAGAGCCCCTCTTCCATTTTACTCTAAAGCTCGTCCTCTTTTCCCTTTTCCCAAGTGAGAGAGCCAAAACAAGACGAACATCAATGTGATGTTCCCTCTTCTTTTGCTTGTCACAGTCACTCAGAAAAGCTTGCTGGAGTAAAGTGCCAAATTTGCCTGAGGTGGCTTTTTCACACAGTTTGGAAACTGGCTCTGCACAAAACACCTCTGGCCTGTCATCTTTCCATAAGTGCCCGTAAAAAAAGTGCATTTTGCCATGTGTGTGCAGATGCTTTCAACTTTGGCGAGGAAAAGTTTACCTGCAGCTTAAATGAATAAAGCATCTACCTACAACGTCCTCCCACTCTTTTAAAGGGAAAAAAAATGAAAGGCATGTTGTGTTTTTTTTTATACTATATTTTATATGTATTGTTTTTTGGGAACCACCTGGCACAACTGAGAACAAATAGTTTTTTCAACCTTAACATGAATTCCTTTAAATAAAAAAA